TAATACCCCTGATAACCTTACAAGCAGAACCGACTCTTGGAGTAGACGTATGAGGGAAAAGGTGAAATTTTTTTTTACTCCTCTTTGGCCCCGGCAAATACATTCGTCTTTTTGAGAAATATTATTTCTTTTCCATTTCAATGTTGCATTTTTTTCTGAAACGAGTGAGTAATTATTCACGCTTTGAAGTTCTTGGTTTGTAAATGTGGTCGTTTATCAGCCAGGTTTTAGAGGTCGGAAGTCCCTTGATCCTGATTAATTATGTTCATTATTTTGTGATTATTCAGCTCCACGTCTAATAATATTTTCGGTTTTATTGTATTTGCTGATGATGAAACTACAGTACTGACTTAATACTTGTGTAACAGTACGGGCTCGATACATCGGAATACACATACAACCCGTCTGAGTCGAACAGGTACCAGCAATCTACAACACAACCATCCGAGGAAAGAAGTCGTGGCTGCACCATTATGTAATGTGACGGCCTGTTTGATTTCATGTTGCACCGAAAGTGAAATCTCTGTTTTTGAATCGGACTGTAATTATGCTGTGCCGGGTATTTGTATCTTATCTGAGTAATAATAACACCGTTTGGAATTGGGAGTGACACGTTGTTTTGTCGTATCTTCTTAGTTTAAAGTCGTGATAGTCGTGTTTCTAAGCTATTATTGTGTTCTCTCAGATGCTGTTCGGTGCCTCTTATACGATTATTAGCAGATGGATGTATGTTACTATGATTTGTAGTTTGCTTCGATAAGTTGTTTGCAGAAATGCAATTGCGTAAAATTTGAGGATCGTCAATGTTGAAGCCACAATTTCATCATGAGGGGCCATATATACATTTAAAACAATATCTTAATAGATTTTTAGCAACTGACTTCTTTTAATAGGTTTTTAACTTCTTTCTTTGACTAAAAAAGAATCAACTAAAACTCTTAAACATATATTTTTCAGAAAGACGCACGACGTTCTATCATGTTAAAAAGTATATCGCTGATCGAATTCATACTCAATATTTCAGCTATTTCTCTTTCAATATACAATATCAACAAGTTTGAAAAGAAAACTTATCTCCCGTTTTGTTTTACAGTTTGATTTTTACTTAATTTATGGATGAAAATGTTCGCCCTAGAGTACTTTTATCGATTTGTTGGCAGTTTTTTTCTTTTTTTTTTTTTTTTTTTTTCTTTCTTCAATACAAACACATAAAACCCCTCAAACTCATATTCTTCTTCACAAATCCCTCAACCTCTTCCTTTTTCTTCCTCACAACAAACCCTTCTAAAAAATTTCAAAAATAAAGAAATTAAAACCTCACAAAACTTATAAAAATGGAGTTATAAGACAATAATATGGTAGTATATATGGAAGGAGAACACATTAAGGTAAGTATCGATGTCTTTTTTGAGCTTCGAAGTCGATTTTGAAGTTTTTTTTTTCTTGAAACTCGCC